CTACTGGCATCTAGTGCATACAGGCCAGGGATGCTGCTAAACGTACTACAATGCACAGAACAGCCCCAGCAGCAAATAATTAGCTCCAAATACCAAAAATATTGATGTTATAGAGTGTATTAGTCCATTTCACACTGCTGACATACCCAAAGACTGGTGGATAATCTGTAAAGAAAAAGAAGTTTAATGGACTCACAGTTCAACATGGCTCGGGAGACCTCACAATCATGGTGGAAGGTGAAAGGCACATCTTACATGGTGGCAGACAAGAGAGAACGAGAACCAAGCAAAAGGGGAAACCGCTTATAAAATCATCAGATCTTGTGAGACTTACTCACTACACGAGAACAGTATTGGGGAGACTGCTCCCATGATTCAATTATGTCCCCCTGGGTCCCTCCCACAACACGTGGGAATTATGTAAGCTACAATTCAAGATGAGATTTGGGTGGGGGCACAGCCAAACCATATCATAGAGCAATGAAAATGAATGAACTGCAACTATACAACTATATGGAATGATATAGTTGAACTGCCTAAGTATAATGTCAAAAGATTCAAAAGTACATACTGTATGATTCCATTTATGTAAGAATAAAAATAAGCAAAATTAATCGGTGATATTAGAAGTCAGGACAACCCTCACTCTGAGTATGAGGGTTAGTAAATGGATGTGACTATGGGGCCCTGGGAGGGGATTCTGGTTTCTGGTCATGTTCTGCTTTTTGACCTGGGTGTATTCAGTTTGTAAAAATTCATTAACCTCATACACTTACGAGAACACTTATATGTTCTCTGGAGTTTTTTTGTTTGTTTGTTTTTTGTTTTTTGAGACGGAGTTTCGCTCTTGTTACCCAGGCTGGAGTGCAATGGCGTGATCTCAGCTCACGGCAACTTCTGCCTCCTGGGTTCAGGCAATTCTCCTGCCTCAGCCTCCCGAGTAGCTGGGATTACAGGCATGCGCCACCATGCCCAGCTAATTTTTTTATCTTTAGTAGAGACGGGGTTTCACCATTTCGACCAGGATGGTCTCGATCTCTTGACCTCGTGGTCCACCTGCCTCAGCCTCCCAAAGTGCTGGGATTACAGGCGTGAGCCACCGCGCCCGGCCTCTGGAGTGTTTTTAAGTGCTTGTTGCCATGAATCTAATCAAGCCTTTAGCCCTAACTTAAGAAATTCAAGGGAAGAAATGCATTTAACAAGAAACTTCCATCTAACAAGAACTTCAGGAAATTCAGGTAAATGACACTTACAGGAACATTCCTAACGTGGGACAATCTACTAGGTAAATGGCCTGCTCGCTTTAAAAGATCGACGTCATAAAAATAAAAGATTGGGGACAGAAACAGAAATAACTTAAAAGAATCAAGTGTGCTAAATCCTGACTGGTTCCTAGTTAGAAAAAAAGTCATGAAAGGTTTTGGATGACTCGGGCTGTAGGTAACCCCCATACAGGTACCAAGGAAGGAGAGCTAAGCAGAATCCTGGCACAATGAAGACCTGGAGAATATCTTAGTTTATAGTGTTACTACTCAGTTATTTCCTTTTATATAATTCTTATACAATCATATATTAGTTTACAGAATTAGGGCTTGGAGAATATCTGTTTATAGTGTTACTACTTAGTTATTTCCCTTTACACAATCCTCTATATATAATCATATATTAGTTCATAGAATGAGTGCCTAAAGGATATCTTACCACTCAGTTATTTCCATATATATATATATATATATATATATATAAAATCTTAGTTTATAATCAGAGGAATGCCTAAAGCAGACACAGTGCAGAGCATGATTTAAGGGGAAAATAGTTATATCAGAACAAGAACCCATGGCCCAGGCGGCAGCGTTCAGTATCATAAAGATACCCGCTGTATGGCAGGCTTGGGGCAAGAGCCACTCCTCCTGATAAAGGAGTTGTAGGACCTTGCTCCAGTTCTTGTGGAAGGCTGCCCTCAGACTGGCAATCGCACCTTGGTGACTGTGAACTTATCAGCTCTTGTTACCGTGCTGATCGAAAAGCATTCCCCTATAGAACTCATTGGAAGCTGCCAGCAGGTGGCGTAGACCTGACAGCTCTGTCACTGCTCTGTGACTTAAAGCATCCTCCTATAAATCTTCTTAGTAGCTTGCCCATAGGTAGAGGTATTGCACACTGCACCCTCTTCACTGTGCACAGCCCACCTCCATGCCTCGGTGACCTAATGGGGATGGACCCCTTGTTTTATTGCTCATGACCCTATCACTATCCTTAAAGATGACTTCACTCACTGCCCTGCCCCCTAACCAATTAGGACGTTCGGGGCCTCGCCTGACTCCACTCATAGGTGGCGTGGCTGCCTGAGCCCAGCTGCATTTTCCTTATACTTCTGTGTCCTGTCTCTTTATTTCTCAGATCCTGCCCTCAGCACAGCATAAGGGGTCACCCCACAACCCTGTGGGCCATCAGGCCTACATGGAGCCATATGAGTGTGGACTGGGTTGTCAGAGAATTACTAAGTTTTCTTAGCAGTGGTGATATAATGGTTATATAGAATAAGGACATTTTTTTTTGAGACAGAGTCCAGCTCTGTCGCCCAGGCTGGAGTGCAGTGGCACAATCTCAGCTCACTGCAACCTCTGCCTCCAGGTTCAAGCAATTCTCCTGCCTCAGCCCCTTTGCCTCTGCCTGCCAAAGTGCTGGGATTACAAGCGTGAGCCACTGTGCCTGACAGAAGGGCATTATTTTTATTTTTTGAAAGGAGTCTTACTCTGTCACCCAGGCTGGAATGCAGTGGCCCTATCTCAGCTCACTGCAACCTCTGCTTCCCAGGTTCTTTTTTTTTTTTTTGAGACGGAGTTTCGCTGTTGTTACCCAGACTGGAGTGCAATGGCACGATCTCGGCTCACCACAACCTCCGCCTTCTGGGTTCAAGCAATTCTCCTGCCTCAGCCTCCCGAGTAGCTGGGACTACAGGCACGCGCCACCATGCCCAGCTAATTTTTGTATTTTTAGTAGAGACTGGGTTTCACCATGTTGACCAGGATGGTCTCGATCTCTTGACCTCGTGATCCACCCGCCTCGGCCTCCCAAAGTACTGGGATTACAGGCATGAGCCACCGCGCCTGGCCCTGCTTCCCAGGTTCAAGCGATTCTCCTGCCTCAGCCTCCTGAATAGCTGAGATTACAGGCACGTGCGCCACTACGCCCAGCTAATTTTTTTATTTTTAGTAGAGGTGGGGTTTCCCCATATTGGTTAGGCTTGTTGCAACCTCTGACCTCAGGTGATGTGCCCTCCTTGGCCTCCCAAAGCGCTGAGATTACAGGTATGAGCTACCGTGCCTGGCCAAGGACCTTGTTTTTAAGAGCTACATGCTCAGTATTTGGTGTTGGGGTGAAATGTTGTATCTACAATTTTCAAATGATTCAGAAAAAGATACACAAAGCAAATATGCAAACTATTAACAAGTGCTGCAATCTACGAGGTATCATTATATTGTCTTTTCAAGTTTCCTTGATTTAGTTTTTTTATAATACAAAAGTTGAGGGAAACTGCAGGCTGGATAGTTTTGATCCGATGTTACTCTCCTAGTCTAATTTTTAAAAGGTGCCTTATGGTGGCTCACGCCTACCCAGCACTTTGGGAGGCTGAAGCGAGTGGATCACCTAAGATGAAGATTCAAGACCAGCCTGGCGAACATGGAGAAACACCATCTCTACTAAAAATACAAAAACTAGCCTTAGCCAGCCGTGGTGGCTGGCACCTGTAGTTCCAGCTACCGGGGAGGCTGAGGCCGGAGAATCATTTGAACCTGGGAGGCAGAGTGGGGACTCCCCAACGCTTTGGCTTTCAGAACACGGGTTCGAATTCTTCACCGTGTGATTTTTAACAAGCATCTTAACTGAGGCCTCGGTTTCCTCATCAGTAAAAGGGAACAGGAATTCCTATCCTTTCGGGCTGTGGTGAGTGTTACGTAAGCCCAAGGAGCCCCAACCTGCGGTGAGAGGCTGGAGGCCGAATGGGGAGGTTTGAGGGGCTCTAGGTTCCTGGACCAACTTCTGGGCGACAGGGAAGAGGTGGCTGCGGGGCCGAGTCCTTCCTAAGTGGCTATGCGAAGGGCCCTGAGTCGAGGCGGGTTATAGCACTTCCTTGAGCCCACCCAGTCCAACGTGTCGCAAATAAAGCCGGCCTTTCTCGGATTCCAGATTGCGGCCCCTCAGGGAGCAGCAGCCCCTTGCCCACGCATCCATTCGCCGGCGGCGGCTGCAGGGGCAGCACGCTAGGCTCAGCGCCTGCCTCGGACCCGGAATCAGGCTGTTTCCTTCTAGACCTCCCGTGGGGGATTCAAGCCGGCGTCCGGGTCAAAGAACAGGGGCAAAGTCCTCATGCAGGAAAAGGTAAGAACGAGGAGCTTCGGCAAAATGCCGACTAACGCCTCCTTAGGTTTTGCCCCACTCCAAGATGGAAGGTCCGCGGCTTCACACTGTCCCTACAGTCCCCTTCCCATTGGCTACTTGGGAATTTTTTTTTTTTTTTCGAATAATGCGGACGCTAATTGGTCAATCTAGGAAGGTTGCTCAAGTCATTGGCGCAGCCGCCATTGGAGGGCGGCTCTCAAAAAATTTTCAAACACAAATTAGGTTCAAGGAAGGAAAGCGGGAGGAAAGGTAAAACTTGAGACGGAGGCGGGACCAAGGAAATGGCAGCTTGCATTGGTTCGTTAGAGGCCAAGGGGCGGCTCTTGAATGCTTTTTCCTCTTGATTAGTCCGATTTAGGAAAAGAGGGCGGGAACTTAGGAAAAGCGGCAGAAGCGCCTATTTCCATTGGTCAGTCCTGGCAGGAGGCGGAGCGCCCGCGGCACCTGATTGGTGCAGGAGGCGAGGCGGGCGGGGCTCTGAGCCGGAGGTTTTGTTGTGAGGGTCGGTTGTCAAGCAGCGGCCAATCAGGGCAGGCGATGGAGGTAAGTGGGGGTCGCCCCTGGAGTAGAGCCTTGGCCTCCGGAGCCGCAGCTGCAGGTGGAGTGGGCAAGGGGACGAGGAGGCGAGGGGACGGTGGGGCCTGGGCTGGGCCGAGCCAGGCGGGGCTGGCTGGGCCTGAGGGCAGGGGGCTCTGAGCGTGGGAAGGCTAGAGCCCGTACTCCGCAAGCAGTGGGTTGGGAGAATCAACCGAGGCCGAGGGACCTGCTCCAGCCTCCGGACAAGATGGGTCGGCGTGGAGGCCGGAGGGGGCACAACCGGGGAGGCTGGAAGCAAAGCTGGGGGTCTGCAGGAGGATAGGTAATGAATAGGGAAAGGAGAAGCAGGAGAAAGAATGAATGGGAGACCCCGGGAACATATGAGAAAGGGCAGTAACGGGGGTCTGGCGCGTCAGGGACTACGTCAGGGAGCTCAGGAGACAGGATATGCATGAGTGGGAGACTCGGGGCAGGGAGAAAAGGGGGTGTGAATGGAGGACTAGAGAGGTAGACCCAGGGACCCAGGAAAAAGGGGACAGAGGGGAGCGGGCTCATGGGAAAGAGGTGAAGTGACTGTGGGAAGGAGGTAGGAGGCTCCATGAGGTGGCCTTTTAGAATTGAGGAGTCATAGCCACTCACGCCCAGACTGGAGGCCTAGTTCCTAGCTTTGTCCTTGGGAATCGGAGAGAGCAAGAGCGGTTCCCTTGCCAGGAGCTGGGGCGTTGGACCATCAGGGTCGTCTTCGAGATTCTTTCCAGGGAGGACTTCAGTGGCCATCTCTGGGATGCCTTTCCTGGGTCCAAAAGCTTAGCTTCTGACTCCACCCCCCAACATCCCACACGTCAGACAAAAACAACGACTCCTAGGAAATCTATGTGAATGGCAGACACGTGGTCTTCCCCGCCCCACTGCAGCTGCGACACTTTAGGCAGCCAGCATCCCCGGAACAAAGCTGCATCTCATTATCCTGGCTTCTGGGAGGAGTTTCTTTTTCCTTGGGTTTCAAGTCACCCTACCTGAGGTGCTCCCTTTGCAGAGGCCCAGACCCAATTTGCAGTGCAGCTTCTGGCTCTGGTGTCTTTGGTGGATGTCAGTCTTTATGGAGTGGCCTTGGTGATCCAGGGAGCTATAGCTCTTAGCAAGCATTTTCTAACAAGACATCGCCTCTGTTTGTATTGCAGCCCTGTATTGAGCTGAGATGGCTCAAGCCTAACATTCCATGATCCAGGATCGTGACAGATGTGCACAGGTTGCTGCCGTTGCTGCTGTGGGTGATCTGGAACCACGAGGCAGCCCAAGGCCAGGAGACAAGGCATTTTCTCTGCCTGGATGTGTGGGAACTCCCTGCCAACTTGATTGGTGGATCTGGGGGGGATCCACCCCCACCCCACGAGCAAAGCACAATTGATTTTGTGGGGTGGGGCTTCAGGTGCCAGCCAGCTGAAGGATGGCCACCCCTGTGGTCACCAAGACAGCCTGGAAGTTGCGTGAGTGGTTTTCATTTTTCTTTATCGCCTCATTTATTCTGTTAGCTGCTTGTTGCTGGGAGGACTGAACCCACAGCTTTGTTTCCGGATCTTGGTACAGGAGGAGACTCCTAGACTTTGGAATAAGATAGACAACGATGTACATCATGATGGTGGCACTTCTTAGCGGGGTGACTTTGGGCGGGTGACTTAACCTCTCTGAGGCTCAGTTTCTTCTCTGTGCAATGAGATAGTGATGCCTGCATTCTAAATTTTCTGTGAAATTCAAGTGACAGGATGGACATCGTAAAGCACTTAGCGCAGGATTTCGTTAGGCTGACAGTCGGGTGAGGAATCCTGAAAGATGTTCTCAGCATTTTCAGACATCTCCCAAGTCAAACTTCTCCAGTCAGATGAATGCATCCTGGGCCTGAGATGGGGGAAGGAGTGGGAGCTAAGAGGGGCAGGCAGAGGAATTAAGACAGGGCTGGGCACTGCCCACACCCACCATTGCCCTATACAAGTTGGTCTAGACTCTCATCTAAAGACTTCATACTCATCCAAATTACTGAGGACCCCAGAGTGCTTTTTTTTTGGTTGGAGTTATATCTGTCAGTATTTACCATGATAGAAGTTAATATTGAGACATTTTCTAACAAGAATATATAATCAAATGGGCCTCTAGTGGTGTTCTGGGAAACTCCACCATATGTTTACGAGCAAATGAGAGTGCAAAAGGCAGATGCCATCTTAGTGTTATTGTGTAAATCCTTTTGTCTTCTCAGACCCCCCGAAAGGATCTTGAGGATCCCAAGCATCCCCAGATCATATTTGGAGAATTCCCCTACATATTGGCACCTCAGTGGGCCCTGCCCTACCCATTGTAACTAGCTGGCATAGCGTTTGTGTGCTGCACCTGGTCACTCTCTGCTGTGAGCTGTCCCTGGGCTGGTTTTCAGGAGCTGGGACAAGACTCCACAATTTTTTTTTTTTTTTTTTGAGACAGAGCCTCATTGTTGCCCAGGCTGGAGTGCAGTGGCATGATCTCAGCTCACTGCAACCTCCGCCTCCCAGGTTCAAGTGATTCTCGTGCCTCAGCCTCTAGAGTAGCTGGGATCACAGGCGCATGCCACCATACCTGGCTAATTTTTATATTTTTAGTAGAGACAGGGTTTCACCATGTTGGCCAGGCTGGTCTTGAACTCCTGACCTCAGGTGATCCACCCACCTTGACCTCCCAAAGTGCTGGGATGACAGCCATGAGCCATCACGCCTGGCCAAGACTCCACACTTTTTCACCATTGAATTTAACCATAAGACTCTGAGCAAATCTCTTTGTAGGGCCTCTGTTTCCTTGCTTGTAAAGTGAGAGATTACGGCCATTTTCGTGTTCCCCAAAGTTCTAGGGCTTTGGGAGAACCAGTTATGGTTCCCCAAGGAAGGCATACTTTGGTCAGAGTGGCTTTGTAATTATTGGGATTACGTATTCATCCCTTCAACAGCTGGCCTTTCCGCAGAGCTAGGCACTGGGGAGCCAGTGGGGGACAAAGTAGCCAAGGTCTCTGTCCAGTGGGAGCTCAGAGCCTGGGGAGAGCAACAGGCAGGGACTGCATAACTGGATCCCTCCATGTCTCCTCTAGTTGCAAGCTGGTACCTGTGCTTTGAAATCGGTTAACTGGGGGTGCAGTGGGAATGCTGCAGGCTGCAGGAACAGCAGGTGCTACGGCCCTGAGGCAGGAGGCTCAGTGTATTGGAAGGACTCAGGGGAGTCCATGGGCGGCAGCACAGCAGCAGGAAGAACGTGGGGCTGCACGGACCTAGTGAGTTCTGCAGGGGCATGTGTCCACAGGACCCCCAGCCCTCCTGAGGCTGCCGTGACTTCATCTTAAAGGCAAGGCCAAGTCATCAGAGTGTGTGAGCAGGAGGTAATGAGATCAGCCGCGTTGGGCATCTGCTGCTGCTGCTGATTTCATGTGCACAGTGGTATCTATGGGAAACTCTGAAGAGCCCACGGCCACATGACCTCTGGCTCCTTCTGGCTCCAGGGTCTGGTGAGGATCAGAGGTGCGTGGCCCACATGCGGTGGTTGAAACCTAGTACTTTGCATCTTGTGTTTGGGATGTGGCTCCTCAGTCCCTCTGGCCATGCTGAACCGTGTTCCCCAGCTTTGGCTAGATGTGGGTCCCAGGTTGTACCCGCAGAGCTTGGCCTGCTGGTACATACTGAGGATTTTTTTTTTTTTTTTTTTTTTTGAAACGGAGTTTTGTTCTATCGCCCAGGCTGGAGTGCAATGCTATCTTGGCTCACTGCAACCTTCGTCTCCTGGGTTCAAGTAATTCTCATGCCTCAGCCTCCCAAGCAGCTGGGATTACAGGTGTGCGTCCGGCTAATTTTTGTATTTTTAATAGAGACGGGGTTTCTCCATGTTAGCCAGGCTGGTCTCGAACTCCTGACCTCAGGTGATCCACCCACCTCAGCCTCCCAAAGTGCTAGGATTATAGGCATGAGCCACTGCGCCCAGCCGAGGATTTTTACGTTTTATTTTTTGCATGAAAATCAAGTATTTGGCCTGGGCTGTTGGTTGCTGTCCTTCCAGCCAGGATTGAAGGAGGAGCTCTTAGGGTGGTGCCCCTGCCTCCTTTGCAGGTGCCTGTGCTGTGTCCCTGCCCCTCTGCCCCTCCCTCCGTGGCTCCAGTCAGTCCCTGGTCAGGCTGCTTAGTACAGGCCCCTCTAGAAGGGCCCAACTTCTAAATCCTTTTCACCCCAAAGTCTGTGATTTTTCCCCCGCCCCTGCCACCATCTGGTCACACTGGGGCATATTTCATGCGAGGCCTAGAGCAGGCACCCAGGAAATACTGATATTATGAATGAATGGGTGTCTCTGGGGGCAGTGGTCCTGAGGCCCAGGGAGGCAGGGCCCAGCCAGACACTTTCCCTGAGATGAGTGAGGGCCGGGGACAGATGGAGCCCCCCAGGTAGTCCAGAGGGAGTGGGCAGTGCCTCCATGGAGAGGATGTCAGGCTTGGGCACAGAATGCCAGGGAGAAGGTGCTTTGCCCTCTTTCTGGGTCGAGTGGAAACTCACAAATAGACACATGTCTGTGGCTGGATTTCCCCAGGTTTCTGTCCCCACAGTATCCAGAGGACAGAAGGCTCTGGTCGAGATGGGACTAGAGTGGAGCCTGGCTCCCTGGGATCTCCACAGCGAGCTCCCCAGTACCCTGGCTCAGGTTTGGGCCTGCAGGGAACCCTCACCCTTGCTGGTGCTGCTACTTGTGCTGGCTCTGCCCTGGCCAGGCCAGGCGTGGGGGTGTCATCGGTGAGATTGAGCCTGTGACCTGTCCCCTGGGTATTCCTGGTGGCCCCTCGGAGCCCGGGTTCCTGGCAAGCAGCTTCCCTGGGCCCGATTTCCCAACCTCCTTGTGATCTGAAGCCTGAAGCAGAGACACCCAAGCAGGGTGGAGTCAGGGCAGGGATGCAGGAGGGGACCCCTGCGGAGCACCGTGGCTGCAACACCCTTTTCCTCGGAGTCACCCACACTGGCCTCCCGGTTGCCTTGAGGCATCAGCACCTTGGGGATTTCCCCTGGCCTCTGTGGGAGAACTGCCTTTTTGTTCCTTCTTTCCAGGAGAGGCTCGCACAGGGATGGGCTCTGAGGCCCGGGCCGCCTCTTGCTTCCCTGCCTGTGCTTTGCTCTCTGCGGAGTCCTCAGAGGCTCATGTCTGCCGTCCCCACTGACCAGGCCAGGGGCCTTGGGCTGTCTGCACAGCCTTCTCCTGTGTGGTCAGCCATCACCCCTACCCCGTCTGCTCAGTCTGTTACCTCCTGCCTCCTCCTCATGAAGCCCACCCTCCAGTGCCCACCTGGGGCCCCCATGCCTACTCTCTCATGGTGACTACCCCCGAGCCTGCCCAACATCATGGAGCCCTCGCTTGCTACTAAGCAGCACACAGGCACACTCTCAGGGAGTCCTCAGCATCAGGTGTGAGCAGACACGTGATCATCCCCACTTTCCAGACAAGGTACCAGGTCGTCAGAGGACAAGGGACTAAGTAGCCAAGGAGGGCCATGCAATAGCAGATCGCAGCCCTCAGACCAGAACCTGATCTGTGATTCTGAATCTGTGCGCCAAAGCCCTGTCCTCACCTGGGGACAGCTTGTCTAGAGGTGACTTTAGTTGTTCTTAAAGTGTGTTCCCTAAATCGGGGTTTGTGTGGACATACGGTCAGCAGCTGAGAGGTGCATAGGTATTGCATGGTCAATTTTTTTTCTTTTAATAATTGTTTTTCAAGCCAGGCGTGGTGGCTCACACCTGTAATCCCAAATCCCAACACTTTGGGAGACTGAGGCGGGCAAATCACCTGAGGTCAGGAGTTTGAGATCAGCCTGATCAACATGGTGAAACCCTGTCTCTACTAAAAATACAAAATTAGCTGGGTGTGGTGGCGCATGCCTATAATTCCAGCTACTCAGGAAGCCAAGGCAGGAGAATCACTTGAACCCAGGAGGCGGAGGTTGCAGTGAGCCAAGATCCGCGCCATTGCACTCCAGCCTGGACAATGAGAGCGAAAACCCTGTCTCAAAAAAACAAAATTGTTTTTCTTTTTGTGTTATAGAGTATCATGAGTATATCAAACTTGTAATTTCATGGATATTGTTTAAAACCAAGCCAATAAAAATACCAAGTCAATTTTTAAAATTGAGTATAACTAGTCAGTATTACCAGGTGATATGCCGAACCAGGAAAAAGTCATGAAGTCTTAAGGTAGGACAGGAATGATGAAAGCGGTGATTTCCATCTCGGTCCCATGCCCTGCAGCTCATGGTGGGCACCAGTGGGGGAGTTGAAGGAGGCAGAGCCTTCCACTTGCCGTCAGGTTCCAGAGCGGGCAGCCCAGCAGGGTCACCCCTCCCCCACAAGGCCCCATCATGCCCCCCTGATGTCCTCTCCGTCTCCTTCCCTGTGTAGAAGAGATCGTCGCCCATGCCAGCAATGTGTCCTCACTGGTGCTGGGCAAGGCGTCCGGGCGGCTGCTGGCTACGGGCGGGGATGACTGCCGTGTCAACCTGTGGTCCATCAACAAGCCCAACTGCATCATGGTGAGCCCCAGCAGCCAGCAGGGGTCAGAACGAGGGCCTGGGGAGGGGACGGGCCAGGGGTTGGAAGCTGCTCCCTTTCTTGAGCCCAGGGCCCCCTATCCTCCGGGGTCCAGACCAGGGGTGGAGGGGGCATGGTGGGGACACCATCAGTGCTTCCCCCAGCTGTCTGCTTAGTGAGGCCTAGGGCAGCCCAGCATGGCTGGGACAGTGGCCAGCCCTCAGGAGCGAGGGAGTCACCTGCCTGTGGTACTTTAAGAACTCCAGGCAGGCTGCGTGAGAAGGTTAAAATAAGCCCTGGGCCTGTGGTTGAGCCAAAAGATTTGTAACCCTGCCCTCCCACCTGCCTATATGCCCGCCTGGCAGCAACATGTGGGCGTTTATTTTAATTCATTCCCAGCCTTCATTCCCCAGTGAGGATTTGAGGGGACCTGGCTCAAGCTGGTTAGGGAGCTAGTTCTTAAATATCATCTCCCCACTATTTACGCAGCTATGTTCAATGCTGGAAACTGTTTTCCAAACAGGAGCGCACAGGAGAAAACACAAACATTCACTACATATAGTTGTATTATTCAAAGGCCACCACAGTGGGTGCTTTGGCCTGAGTCCTTCTTGATGCTGAAACAGATACGTATATGTGTCCATGCACGCGTGTGCACACTTGTACATGATGTACACATGTATACATGCAAATACACATACAAGCACACACATGAATAAAAATGCACTGCCACTCTGGTGCAGCCCGCTTTTTAAAAATAACAATGCTACAAGGATTTACCTTTGTCAACAAATATTCTTTTACAGCATAATTTTGAATGGCTTCATGGTGTTCCCTTGTAGGGATGAGCTGCAATTAGCTTAGCCACACCCTGTTATCACATGGAGGTTGTTTCCAGCTTGTTCTGGGCTCTGCTAAACCACTCTGTGGTGAACATCCTCAGCCACCTAGATCTTTGAGCAGATCTGTGATCATTGCATTAAATTCAAGGGTGTGTGCTTATTTTAAAGCTTTCAAAACGGATTGCCAAATTGCCCTCCGGAAATCATTTTACATTCTCACCAGCATCGGAACCTGCCCTTTCCTCCCTGCCCAACCAGCCCATCCCTTTCCAACCAGGGAAGTATCATTGTTTTGACTCTTGATGAAATAAAGATAAAGAAAACTAGGCCGGGCACCATAATCCCAGCATTTTGGTAGGCTGAGGCAGCGGATCACCTGAGGTGGGGAGTTTGAGACCAGCCTGGCCAACATGGTGAAACCCTGTCTCAACTAAAAACACAAAAATTAGCCAGGCGTGGTGGCAGGCGCCTGTAATCCCAGCTACTCAGGAGGCTGAGGCAAGAGAATCGCTTGAACCCGGGAGGTGGAGGTGGCAGTGACCTGAGATTGTGCCACTACTCTCACCTGGGCAACAGAGTGAGACTCCATCTCAAAAAAAAAAAAACAACAAAACAAAACAAAAATGAAGACTATGGCAAGGGATGAATTTCTTGGTAGAAACTTAATCACCTTAGTGTTTTTGTAAGATCCAGAGGGAGAACTGAGATCCACCCCAGTCTCAGCAAGGGTGCCAGGGGTCAGTAAAGATGACTCGAAATGTTTTGTTTTACTTTGTTTTTAGGGTTCAAATGTGTTCCCCAGAAATGCCAGCCCCCAGAAATGCCAAAGTAGTAGCTTATACAAGCTGAAAAAGTATCACCAATGACTGACCAAAACAGGACATGCCACCACCTGCTGAGGAGCGGGGCCAAGCATCTGGGGCCTGGCCTGCAGGCATGTCCTCGAACACCAGATGCAGCTGTTAGGCCCCAGCCAGTCTTGCCCTGGCCACTGCCCTCACTCACACACACCAGCCTGCCAGGGTTTCTCTTGCCTTGGGTGTTGTGTGCACACTCTCCCCTTCCAGGCCGACCTCTTGGATTTATTTTTGCTTATTCTTTTTTTTTGAGATGGAGTTTCACTCTTGTTACCCAGGCTGGAGTGCAATGGCGCGATCTCGGCTCACCGCAGCCTCCGCCTCCTGGGTTCAGCCAATTCTCCTGCCTCAGCCTCCCGAGTACCTGGGATTACAGGCACACGCCACCATGACCAGCTAATTTTTTGTATTTTTAGTAGAGACCGGGTTTCACCATGTTGACCAGGATGGTCTCGATCTCTCGACCTCGTGATCCACCCATCTCGGCCTCCCAAAGTGCTGGGATTACAGGCTTGAGCCACCGCGCCCGGCCTGTTTATTCTTGAGTATGGGATATACTTAATTCTGTTCGACATCCAGAAGATAGAGGGTCCACAGTGAAAAGTCTTCCACCTTCCCCTAACCTCTCCCCTTTTCACGGGGATGGGCAGTCAGGGAGAGCCAGGGGTTCCAGAGGGGCAAGATGGGTGCCCGGGACCAGCGAGGCCTCGGTTCTGCCATGGCTTCCTTTGCTGAGGGGCTTGCATAGGGCAGCAGCAAAGATGGGAACGGGGTAAGGCTGAAGGGACAGCATCCCTTTATCTTGGCCAGTTGCTTCCCTCCAAGGGACCCAGGGCCATTTCTGCAGGTGATACCCATGTCAGAAGCATATCGAGAAGAGGGAGGTGCTGGGGGATGACGGTTTGGCCACCTTTAACCCTGGGAACCCAGGCTGAGAGGAGTAGCTGCTTAGAAAGGGCCTGCAGGAGGGCTGGGCTGTGGCCCCCAGGGGGCGCCCCCTCCTGCCTTAGCCTTTCCCGTGGACCTGGAATTCAGGGTAACGCCTCGGGGGGTTCTGTCCAGCAGTGCGCTTAAGCTGCTGCCCTCTCCCCACAGAGTCTGACGGGCCACACGTCCCCAGTGGAGAGCGTCCGCCTCAACACCCCTGAGGAGCTCATCGTGGCCGGCTCCCAGTCGGGCTCCATCCGCGTCTGGGACCTGGAAGCTGCCAAAAGTAGGCCCCCGAGCTTGCCTCCTGCGCATGCGCGCCTGACTTAGTCTTCAGGCTCTGCGGTCATGCCGCTTCCTCCAGGAAACCTGCCTGGACTAGGTTGGCTGCTTTGCTCCTGGAGCATTAACCAGGCAGTGTGGAAACCACTCCACACCCATTAGCTTGGCGTTGACATGCACTGCTGCCTCGAGCAGCTGAGGGCCTGCCAGAAAGTGTCTGCATGAACCACCGTGTGTGTGTGTGTGTGTGTGTGTGTGTGTGTGTGTGTGTGTGTTTGGATGTGTGTATTTAGAACCTGGAGGGATGTCACATGCCGCCAGGAGCCCTGCAGGCCACCTGAGTGAGTGAGGTGGCTGTGTGGGACAGCCGTGAAGAACCAGGGAGCTTGTACCCTGACTCGAGGTGGTCCCCACTCTGCCTCAGCTCCGTTGTGCCACCAGAGGCAGCCTGGGATGACCAGATCTGTTTGTTTGTGCTCTGTTTTAATTTAGTTTTCATCTCTATGGAAGTTGTACATAGCCTAAACTTTAAAGCCTCCGATACCAGTAGTTTACAGTGAATTACAATAGAAAGAGGAGACTTCTGCCCCACTCCTTCCCATTCTCCAGGAGCCACAGCTTTCTGTCTTTCGTCTGTGCTTTGCTGACCGCCTCTACCTTTCTAGACCACATGGTCATACTGCACTTTCTTTCTTTTTTAAAAATGTTGGGGCTGGGCGCGGTGGCTCACACCTGTAATCCCAGCACTATGGGAGGCTGAAGCGAATGGATTACCTGAAGTCAGGAGTTCAAGACCAGCCTGACCAAGATGGTGAAACCTGTCTATACTATAAATACAAAATTAATCGGGCATGGTGGGGCATGCCTGTAGTCCCAGCTGCTGGGGAGGCTGAGGCAGGAGAATTGCTTAAACCCAGGAGGTGAAGGTTGCAGTGAGCCAAGATCGTGCCATTGCACTCCAGCCTGGGCAACAGGAGCGAAACTCCCATCTAAAAAACAAAACAAAAAAAGTGTTAACACATTAGTTATTCCCTTCCTACGCTCTCTCATGGCCGCTACCCCTGGCCCCATCGCTCATGTTTTTCCTCCCACCCTCCTGGTAGCACCATTTCAGTAGGCAGTGTTTAAAACATAAGGACCGCCTAAGTGTCATTTACCACTATTTTTTTAAATAACGTGGTTTTTCTGGAGTTAACTGTTTTTTTTTTAATCCATGTGTTTTCTATGTCCTTATTACTCATTCATCCCCAAATTCTCTGCCAGAAGAGTAAAGCTCCTCCTGTTTCTTTGAAACCCATCCCATAATCCAGGTGCCTTTTCTCAGAGCCTCTCCTCCAGTCCTAGTGGCCTGCAGCCCAGCTGTCATCCTGGGCCTCCTGTCTCCTCTCTGGGGAATTCTCTGTCTGCTGTTCCTGGCCCCACACCGCCACCTTCCTTGGTTTTCTCCCTGTTTTTGATGGAGCACATTCCTTCGCAGCTTACTGAGAAAGGGTGTGGGGCAGGCATAGTTTGAGAGAACTCTTATGGTTGAAAGTGACTTTATGCTACCCCCATCATTTGCTTTTGTGTTTGTTTTATGAGTCGGAATATAGAGTTTGACGTTGGCAATAAAATAGCACTCAGCATTTGGAAGGTGCAGCTCTACTGCCTTTTAGGTTCCAGGGTAGCTATTAAGAGGGGCCAGTTCTATTCTGATCCCAGACCCTTCACAGGGGACCGGCTTCTTTCCACGTTCTCTCTCTTTTTCCACATTCTCTCTCTTCTTTCCACGTTCTCTCTCTTCTTCCCTCTCTCTCTTCTTCCCTCTCTCTCTTCTTTCCTCTCTCTCTCTTCTTTCCTCTCTCTCTTCTTTCCTCTCTCTCTTCTTTCCTCTCTCTCTCTTCTTTCCTCTCTCTCTTCTTCCCTCTCTCTCTTCTTTCCTCTCTCTCTCTTCTTTCCTCTCTCTCTTCTTCCCTCTCTCTCTTCTTTCCTCTCTCTCTTCTTTCCTCTCTCTCTTCTTTCCTCTCTCTCTTCTTCCCTCTCTCTCTTCTTCCCTCTCTCTCTTCTTTCCTCTCTCTCTCTTCTTTCCTCTCTCTCTTCTTTCCTCTCTCTCTTCTTTCCTCTCTCTCTCTTCTTTCCTCTCTCTCTCTTCTTTCCTCTCTCTCTCTTCTTTCCTCTCTCTCTTCTTCCTCTCTCTTCTTTCCCTCTCTCTCTCTTCTTTCCTCTCTCTCTCTTCTTTCCTCTCTCTCTTCTTTCCTCTCTCTCTCTTTCCTCTCTCTCTCTCTCTCTCTTCTTTCCTCTCTCTCTTCTTTCCTCTCTCTCTTCTTTCCTCTCTCTCTTCTTTCCTCTCTCTCTCTTCTTTCCTCTCTCTCTTCTTTCCTCTCTCTCTTCTTTCCTCTCTCTCTTCTTTCCTCTCTCTCTTCTTTCCTCTCTCTCTCTTCTTTCCTCTCTCGCTTCTTTCCTCTCTCTCTTCTTTCCTCTCTCTCTTCTTTCCTCTCTCTCTTCTTTCCTCTCTCTCTCTTCTTTCCTCTCTCTCTTCTTTCCTCTCTCTCTTCTTTCCTCTCTCTCTCTCTTCTTTCCTCTCTCTCTCTTCTTTCCTCTCTCTCTTCTTTCCTCTCTCTCTTCTTTCCTCTCTCTCTTCTTTCCTCTCTCTCTTCTTTCCTCTCTCTCTTCTTTCCTCTCTCTCTCTTCTTTCCTCTCTCTCTTCTTTCCTCTCTCTCTTCTTTCCTCTCTCTCTCTTCTTTCCTCTCTCTCTTCTTTCCTCTCTCTCTTCTTTCCTCTCTCTCTTCTTTCCTCTCTCTCTCTTCTTTCCTCTCTCTTCTTTCCTCTCTCTCTTCTTTCCTCTCTCTTCTTTCCTCTCTCTCCCTTCTTTCCTCTCTCTCTTCTTTCCTCTCTCTTCTTTCCTCTCTCTCTTCTTTCCTCTCTCTTCTTTCCTCTCTCTCTTCTTTCCTCTCTCTCTTCTTTCCTCTCTCTTCTTTCCTCTCTCTCTTCTTTCCTCTCTCTCTCCTTTCCTCTGTCTCGCTCTTTCCTCTCTCTCTGCAGGCTTTTAGGGTCTTCCTCCCAGTGTTCTGGTGTGATGAGCCTTGGGGTGGGTCTGTTTCCACCCTGTGCTGGATCCTTGCTGGTTTCTTGCAGCTGTGGTCTGGAAACTCATGCCCTCAGGTCTGGGCCGAGCGGAGAGACTTGCCCACTGCCCCTGTGCCTCGGTGCCTTAGCAGGTGGTGCCAGCTCTCCCGATTTTTCAAGAGAGCCTGGAAATCTGGAAATTCATGTAAGCCAATTTTAAAATGTTGACAGCTCATTTAGCATTCTTTTCAGAACACCATACAGGCCAGCAGTGTGAGGTCCAGATAAGACCTGTTTACCTGATGGTTTGTTTTTTTTTTTTTTTTTTTTCGTTTTTGAGACAGAGTCTCACTCTGTCACCTAGGCTGGAGTGCAGTGGTACAATCTCAGCTCACTGCAACCTCCATCTCCCAGGTTCAAGTGATTCTCCTGCCTCAGCCTCCTGAGTAGATAGGATTACACGCATCTACCACCACGCCTGGCTAATTTTTGTATTTTTAATAGAGACAGGGTTTCGCCATGTTGACCTGGCTGGTCGTGAACTCCTGACCTCAGGTCATCTGTCCACCTCACCCTCCCAAAGTGCTGGGATTACAGGTGTGAGCCACTGAACCTGGCCTGCCTGATGCTTTTTGATAGCCCTGGTTGGATCTTCCTGTGTGCCAGGCAGGAGGCACCTACCTGAAGCCCTGGAGAGGAAATGGCAACATGGATTTTGCATAGGCTGTTTTTTCCAGAAGAGAGCCACTCTGGCCTGGCTGAGACTTCAGGATTCTTCCAGGCGTCTCCTTGGTTCCTGCTCTATGTTGGCAGCCAGGCAGCAGCCATGATCCATGCCTACACAGCGGTGTGTTCCCTTTGCTCAAGAACAGGGGGCTTTCTGTGTGGGTGGCACTCAATAAAGATGGGCCCCAGGCCTCTTCAGTGATGCTTGCCTGCTCAGTGCTGGTCAGTTTAAGAAAGAGCCCAAGGACCTCCTTGATAAAACAGACCTGCAGGCTTTGCATCTTGGCGCGTGATCGCGCTGCCTGGCCACGCCGGGTATCTGTGCTTGGGCATCACTGAATGCAAGCGGGCCAGGGAGGAGCGAGGCCAGCATGGCTAGGCTCTAATGGAGAAGGTGGGAAGCTCAGGCAGAAGGCAGACAGCTCCCTGGACCTGAATCCCAGCGCTTGGCCACCAGCCCTTCAGTAGTCACGGAAAGCAAGAGACAGAAGAGAGAAGCCAAGGGCGCCCTGCCTGTCGTCCAGGCCTTCTCAGCCACAGCTGTTTTCCTCATAAGGGAAATGTGAGGAATTCCTTGAAGTGGCTGAGAAATGAAAACTGAAGACCGCTGGATTCCTGAGCCCTGAACGGCCAGGCCTGGCTGCTCCACAATGAGCTCACCACACACTCACGGCCAGACCCACCTCCAGAAAACCCGATACAGTACTGGGGTGGGCCCAGAATCTGGATTTGAATACACTTCCAGGTGATTCTGATGGACAGCCAAGTTGACAGATGGGCAAATGGAGGCCCAGGGAGAACAGCGAGTTTAGGAGAGCGTGGTAGCTGCAGGTAGCAGAGCCTGGGACTTTAATCCGGCGTCAGGGCTCCTATCCCAGTGCTCTCTGTTCTGCCATTGGATGGAAGAGAAACTTGCCTTTCAGCAGGTAGAGCTAAGACCTCCGGCCCCTACCCCCACCCCCACCTACCAGACCGTAGACAACAGTGACAGACAAACTGAGGCCCCAGGTGTAGAAAGGTTCTAAAGAGAGCTGCCCCACTGACATGGTGGCTCACACCTGTGATCTCCGTACTTAGGGAGGCCAAGGCAGGAGGATCACTTGAGGCCAGGAGTTTAACCTGGGCAACAAAATGAGACCGCTGTCTGTATTTAAAAAGAGAGTGCTGCCTATCCTATCGGTTGCCTTGGAAGGCCACCCATCACTGGAGGACTCAGATGTGAGCTGAGCAGCTGCTCAGCTGGGAGGGCTTGGGGGTTTCTGCAGCAGGCAGACAGACCCCGGAGGCCCCTCCACTCTGCAGTTCCTGGATCCTGTGACTGAACTTGGGCATCAGAGGCCTTTGTGGACAGAAGAGCAAGGGCAGGAGTCAGGCCAGAAAAATGTGGTCCTGCCTGCTTTCCACAGCGCAACTACAGGGCGAGGGTGGCTCAGCCCAGGGGATCCCACAGGGTCCCACAGGAGGGCGGCCAGCGCTCCATGTAGCCAGCCCACACAGGGCGGGACCCCACCACATCCTCTCCGGGTGGGGCAGGATTTTGGAAGCCTTGCCATGGGATCCAAGCTGAATGGGCTGGGAGCAGATGTGGACTGGAGTAGGAGCCAACGTGGCTTCCTTGGCCAGGAGGCAGTGCCCAGCCCCCAGCAGCACCTGATAGCTACACGAAGCAAGGAGGGACAGCTGCAGAGATTCTGGTGCAGGTGAACTGGATATGCATTCCACAGACTCCAGAGGGATGTGGAAGTGCCCAGACCCAGCTCCAGTGCCAGACAGGGCCAGCTGCAGAGGGGCACTGAGGCCTGGGAATGAGGAGAGAAGGCCCAGCTTGTCAGACAGCCAGGAGCAGAAGGCAGGCCTCCTGCAGGAAGTGTGAACGGGACTCATTACGGCTGCCATTTATTGAGCACTTACCATATGCTGAGCCTGTGCTAAGCGCTTTATGTCCATTTGTTTTCTCCATTCTGTGACCCAACATGAGGCTCAGAGAGGGTAAGTGATTGCCAGGGTCACACTGCCAGTGAGGGAGGAGCCAAGGCTGATCCCAGGACTGTCTGAAGCCAGAGCCCACGTCCTGACATTGGGTTAGAGAAGATCATACAGTAGAGTTCATTTCATTCACCCAGTGCTTGGATCTCGACTCTGCAGTAAAGTGTTATATACAGAACCTTGAACACCTCCTCCGACAGCTCACAAGGCACCCTATTTATTGTACCTTGGCTCAAACCTAAGAATGGCTGGACACCCACGTTTCCTGGCCCCAGCACTCATGGGATGATGGGTTTCATTCAGACAGTGAATTATAAATTTTTCCAAAAGCAGGACACATGAGACAAATTTGAGTGGTGCTGGAGGACACCCTGAAACACACAAGGTTTCCCTCCAGGCTGGGCGGTGCCTGGCCATGGAGCTGCCTGCTAACCCTTCAAGGAAAGGATGGGAGATGCGGTTCCTAGGGCAGCAGGAGGCGATCAGGCTCCACTCTGGTCCTCTCGTGTCCTCCTGGTCTCCTCTCAGTTCTCACAGCTCCTCAGTATGTCCTCACAGCCACCTTCAAAATCCCTTGGATGGGGTCACCCAAGAAGACGTGTGTGTACCAGGGCCACCCCAGCCACGCCCTCTATTGCCTTCCTTAGGGCCTTTGCCCATCACCTCCATCTGCCTAACGGAGCATCCCTCATCCTTCACCGACATCTACTCAAATACCACTTCCTCCATAAAGCCTTCCTGGATTTCTCTTTCCAACCAAGCAGTTTCTCTCTGAGCTTGAACCTCTCCTGGTCTCTCTCCTTGCACTGTCTTGGGCGGGGTTGGGCACCCTGTCCACCATCAGCTGCATGTCTACGGGGCCTGAACTGAGTGCAGTGGTTCCCTGGCTCTGCTGCTGCTGGGGAAACCCCCTCTCTACCAAAAGTATTTAAAAATTAGCCAGGTGTGATGGCATGTGCTTGTAATCCCAGCTACTTGGGAGGCTGAGGCAGGAGAATTGCTTGAACCCAGGAGGCAGAGGTTGCAGTGAGCTTAGATCGTGCCACTGCACTCCAGCCTGGAGACAGAGCAAGACTCCCTCTCAAAAGAAAAAAAAATTAGTTGTGGGGTGGGACCCTTGATGGTTTCCCCATTTTAAAAATACGTGTTATTGTTCTTTTGTGTGCAGTCATTGTGAAAGCACACACACACACACACACCGCAGCCCTCCCATGTGCCTCTCAGCCACTGTTTCTGCTTTTCTTCTTTTTAGTTCTTCGCACACTCATGGGTCACAAAGCCAACATCTGCAGCCTGGATTTCCACCCATACGGCGAATTCGTAGCCTCCGGTTCTCAGGACACGAACATCAAGGTGAGAGGCTGCTCCACGCCCTGTGTTTCCTGCTGGGACTGCAGCAGGACTGGTCCGGCCCTCAGGCTGGGTGCCCACTGAGGGGACCTCTTCCCTCTCTGCAGCCACATCTACACTGTCCTAGGTAAGGTGGGTGGCAGGCACCTGCCAGATGCTTCTGCTCAGAATGCCAGCTTTAGTGAGCAGTTTCTGTACTTGTCACTGTGAAGAGTAACGACCTAGAGGAGCCTGGGCCCCGCCCTCTGCTCACGGCCACACTCTGTCCTCTGACTGGCTCCAGGCCTCATTCATGACCTCTCCTGACTCTGCCCCTCTGCTTCTCTCTCCCCCACAGCTCTGGGACATCAGGAGGAAAGGCTGTGTCTTCCGATACAGGGTAAGGATGGCACTCTGTTGGTGACTCCATCAGCACCTTGCAGGTGCTGAGTGTGACATAGTGCCCGGACCCAGGCAGGGAGTGGAGGGGATGGGTGAGAACGTGAAACATGGATCTGGAGCCCAGCAGGAACACCACGGGCGGCCCACCTGGACCCCCTGCTCTCCATGGATCCCCTAGAGCCACGTTCATCAAACCGCCCCAAGCAGAACCAGGCGGGTCGCCTGTGTGGTCAGATGGAAGGGGTCCCACAGGAGTGAGGAGGCAGGGAGAGGTCTGTGGGCCCAGGATCCCAGGGTGAGCTCATGCTGTTCCTCCCTCAGGGGCACAGTCAGGCTGTGCGGTGTCTCCGGTTCAGCCCCGATGGGAAGTGGTTGGCGTCGGCCGCAGATGACCACACTGTGAAGGTAGCTCCCCCGAGCCTGACCTGGGCCCAGGGGCCAGGGGCCTGGGGTCTGCTGATCACAACAGACTGAGTCCTCACCTCCCTCCTGATCGGGCCCACATGCCCCACGCCTGTCCCGAGTGGAAGGTGCTTTATGGATAAAGAGCTTGGCCTGATTTAGAGGGAGGGTGGGCAGCCAAGGTGCCTGGCCCTGACCTCCCTGCCCTGCCTCCAGCTCTGGGATCTAACTGCTGGCAAGATGATGTCTGAGTTCCTGGGTCACACGGGGCCTGTCAACGTGGTGGAGTTTCACCCCAACGAATACCTTCTGGCCTCCGGCAGCTCTGACAGGTGAGGAGGAGGTGTGGGCGAGTCGCTCGTGTCTGCAGCTCTTTGCCACCGTGTCCTCTGCGTGTCTCCACTCCAGCTCTGTCACTGTCTGGGGTGTCATACACTTGATGATCCTTTGGATTTCAGCCAAGCCAGGATGGAACCCTGTTCCATCTCCCCTGCTGGTTCCCTGGCCCCAGTGTCCCAGGTCTGTGGCTTCATTGGCAGGTTTGGACCCAAGGCACCTAGTGGGGCTCTATAGGGCCGGAGGCTTACAGCTATTGGGGCCAGCCCAGGGGCCAGGGCCATCAGGCTCAGCCTCCTCCTTACAAAGTCAGGGCCAGCCCTGCCCCAGCCGTTGTTCCTGGTGACCATGCCCTAGGGTGAGCTTTCTAGAGAAGCTGGTTCCCAGGGGCCTGTGGAGGCCAGGACTCGGGGAGAGGCTTCGCAGCACAGCTTGGCTGCCTTTGCAGGACCATCCGCTTCTGGGACCTGGAGAAGTTCCAGGTGGTGAGCTGCATCGAAGGGGAGCCTGGGCCTGTCAGGTACGCAGGCCGGGGGTGGAGAGCCTGGGCCTATCAGGTACACAGGCCGGGGGTGAGTAGGGCAGCGCTCCTCTGGGCAGCAGGGCGTGGCTGCGGGTGGGCCTTTCCCTTCTCTGCTCTGCACCCTCTCTGTACCGGGCTCTCTGGGTTCCTTGGGGTGGGGACCAGACTGGGTGCTGCAGGACCCAGAGCCATCTCTTGACTGGCCCAGGAGTGTCCTCTTCAACCCAGACGGCTGCTGCCTATACAGCGGCTGCCAGGACTCGCTGCGCGTCTACGGCTGGGAGCCTGAGCGATGCTTTGATGTCGTCCTCGTCAACTGGGGCAAGGTGGCTGACCTGGCCATCTGCAATGACCAGCTGGTGAGAGAGCCATGGTGCCCACCACCCCCCCACTCCCACCGGGCCAGCCACCTTCCTCTGCCCCAGACCCCTTCTCTACCCCGCCCTGGGGCTGGGATTTTGCCCCCTCAGCTTGCAGGCCCAACCCTGACTTTCCACTTCCTGCAGATTGGCGTGGCCTTCTCCCAAAGCAACGTCTCCTCCTACGTGGTGGATCTGACTCGTGTCACCAGGACTGGCACGGTGGCCCGGGACCCTGTGCAGGACCACCGGCCCCTGGCGCAGCCGCCACCCAACCCCAGTGCCCCGCTCCGGCGCATCTACGAGCGGCCCAGTACAACCTGCAGCAGGCCCCAGAGGTGGGGGCCTGGGGGCCTTCAGGGGCACAGGGGTGGGCCTGTCATACACAGGGAAGCCTCGGGGTTCCAGCCCTGGGCCTCACAGGACGCCTGCTTCCTTTGGGCCTGACCTCTTAACCCCAGGGTGAAGCAGAACTCAGAGAGCGAGCGCCGCAGCCCCAGCAGCGAGGATGACCGGGACGAGCGCGAGTCCCGAGCCGAGATCCAGAATGCCGAGGACTACAACGAGATCTTCCAGCCCAAGAACAGCATCAGTGAGGCCTGCCTCCCGCCCCCAGCCTCCACCCCCAGCCCAGCATCCCCATCTGTGAAAGGGAGGCTGTGGGTCCTTCCAGGATGGCCTGCCATGGCTCCACGTCCCTTTAGCTTCCTGCTAACCCACACCTGGGCTCTGTGCCCCATTCTCACATTCCCTGGGACTCACCAGGCCGTGCTCTGATGGAAGTGAGGGGGACCTGGGCACTCCCCAACAGCAGCCCAGCAGCTGCTCAGTGTCCCAGTCTCTGTCCTGCCAGGGACAGGTGGGCTGGAAGGAGGCTGAGGAGAGGGGCAGAAACAGACGCACGAACGCACACACGCACACTCTCCCAGGACTGAGGCTTCCTGGGACTGGAGCAGGGTCCAGGGTCTGCAACCACATGCCTGGCGGCCACCCTCCACCTCCCACGCTCTGATAGCGCCCTGGGTGCCAGGTGGCCCAGCCAGGAGCGCTCACAGCCAGGGTCCTCTTTCCCCTTCAGGTCGGACACCACCCCGGAGAAGTGAGCCCTTCCCTGCACCCCCAGAAGACGGTGAGTTGGGTGAGCCTGGCTTCCCAGGGTCTCTGATGCCCCACACCCTACACCCCATCCCTCACCTCTCCCTATGAGTTCTCCCAACAAGCCCCTTCCTGGGCCCTCCCCTCTCAGGGCACTCACTACCCAAAGCCTCTCCCAAGGGGTCTCTGCCCTCCCGTGGGAGCCTGTGCCCCGGTGTGTGGGGGACAGACGTAGACACCGCCACATGCACAGGCCTGCCAGGGATGCTTAGGCTGTGGAGGACAGAGGACTCCCTGGGGGCCCACCTTAGACAGCGTCGGCTGTAGATGGGATCATCAGAGGCTCTCAGGAGGCGAACACCTGCTGAGGCCTGGGAGCCGGCAAGAAGAGGGAGAGGGGAGCGCTTCCCTCAGGAAGGGAGCTGAGAGGAGGGAGCGGGGGTGAGTCCCAGCAGGAGGTCAGGCCCAAGAGGCCTCAGCTGGGGGTTTGGATTAAGAAGGGAAAAAACATCTGCGCTATGGGTGAAGGGCCAGGCATGGGGACCCCTGTCCTACAGTGTCCCCTGCCCTCCTCCTGGCCTCCCCTCAAGGACCATCCTTGCTCCTTCTGGAGGCTGGGTGGTTTCCTAGGAGCCTCCACTTCCTCCTTGCCCATCACTCATCCCAGCTCCCTCTGTATACACACCAGTGAAGGGACAGGACGGCCACATCCTGGAGCCCCCTGGGTCCCACCCACAGGCAGACTTAAGGTTGAGTTGAGGGAGAGGGAGGAGGCAGGCTTGCACCCAGGTCCTCTGGAACCCCATGCTAATGAACCGCTGCTACCTCACCCCCGCTGCTGCTCTGTACCCCCCAATACAGATGCTACCCCAAGGCCCGCCCTGAGCCCTGCCCTTCCTGCCAGGCCCTTCTGGCTGGACCCAGTCATCTCCTTTTGTGTCTTTTCCAGACGTGGCCACAGCAGAGGCAGCAAAGCCCAGCCCTGCCATGGATGTGCAGTTTCCGGTGCCAAACGTATGTCCATGGAGGGGCATGAGGAGGGGCCTAGAGAGGGTCCTGACCCAGGGGTGGGGGGGTTCCTCATGTTGGGAGGCCGAGAGGGAGGCCCTGGGCTGGTGCCCACTGAGCTTCAAACCCCTTCAGCTGGAGGTCCTGCCCCGGCCCCCGGTTGTCGCTTCCACACCTGTACCTGCACCCAAGGCTGAGCCTGCCATCATCCCTGCCACTCGCAACGAGCCCATCGGCCTGAAGGCCTCCGACTTCCTGCCCGTGAGTGAGAGCCCAGGGCGAGGAGTGGGTGGAGGTCTGTGGGTGGAGGGCAGAGCGTCGCTGCTGGCTCCTCCCATGCCAGCATCTGGGTGCCCATCCCACGCAGGCCGTGAAGATCCCCCAGCAGGCCGAGCTGGTGGACGACGATGCCATGTCACAGATCCGCAAAGGCCATGACACCATGTGTGTGGTGCTCACCAGCCGCCACAAGAACCTGGATACCGTGCGGGCTGTGTGGACCACAGGCGACATAAAGGCAAGCACCCATCCTTGCCCAGAGCCTCACTTCACCCCTGCCCCTGCCACCTGCCTGCCCGGAGAGGCCACCCATGGGGGGGACAGTGCGAGAGATGCCGTCCCTGCCATGACACCATCTGTTTCTCCCATCATGGTCATCACAGGGTGCCATCTCTTCAGCACCTGTTGACAGGCCTGGCCTCACACTGTCAGGTGCAGTGCTATGAACACCCCACAACCCCATCAGTACACCGACACTCACGTTCATGCCCCACCCTCACCCTCGGGATCACACTGCGCCCCAGTACCCCACCCCTGACAGTGCTCTGTTTGCACAGACTTCGGTGGACTCTGCTGTGGCCATCAATGACCTGTCGGTGGTGGTGGACCTCCTGAACATCGTCAACCAGAAAGCGTAAGTGGCTGCCGAGGGGAAGGGGCGGAGGGGTGGGGCAGGGCTGACGGCAATGTGTCCTGTCCTCTTCTAGCTCCCTATGGAAGCTGGACCTGTGCACCACGGTCCTGCCACAGATTGAGAAGCTTCTGCAGAGCAAGTATGAGAGGTGCGTGTGGGGAAGCCAGGCCTGCCTTGAGGATGGGGAGGGGAGAGGCAAGAAGCCTCGTCCAGGACCATGGGAAGGGCCCCCAAGGGCCTGGTTGTTCCGTGAACTGGCTGTGAAGCATCGCTGCCCCCTCAGCGGTCCAGAGGTGGGAGTGGAAAAAGGCATGTGTGTGTGTCTGTTTCTGCACCTCTCCTGTGTTCCTTGCTTTTTCTCTATCTGTGGCCCTGGGTCCCTCTGTGACTTCATCCATCTGCCCTTGAAGCTACGTCCAGACGGGCTGCACCTCCCTGAAGCTGATCTTGCAGCGGTTTCTGCCCCTCATCACGGACATGCTGGCGGCCCCACCCTCCGTGGGTGTGGATATCAGCAGGGAGGAGAGGTGAGGGCCAGGCGGTGCCTGTGTCAGGGGCCAGGGTGCCACAACAGGTGAGGGACAAAGGCCTGGAGGCCCGGGCCCGTCTTACTGACAGTCCTGCTGGGATAGTGTCTAGAGGAGGCCCTGGTCTGGGGCTGTGGCTCAGGGCGTGGTGGGAATAGCTAGAGCTGGGCTCCTCCCTGGCCTCGCTGTGCCCCACAATCCCTGGCAGGGCTGGGTGGTTCCGCTCTGGGCTTCCGCCTTCCCCTGGGAGGAGGGGCTGGAACAGTTAGAACAGCAAAGGCCCTGGAGTTGGGGGTGGTGGCAGTGCCAGCTGGCCCTCAGGCACTGCCCTCTCTACAGGCTGCACAAGTGCCGGCTCTGCTACAAGCAGCTCAAGAGCATCAGTGGCCTGGTCAAGAGCAAGTCGGGCCTGAGCGGCCGCCACGGCAGCACCTTCCGAGAGCTGCACCTGCTCATGGCCAGTCTGGACTGAGGAACGCGGTGGGCAGGGTGCCCGGCAGCCCACAGGGCCTGGCCTCGGCCCCCACTCCTGTTCCTTCTGTGCTCACCGGCCCATGAGCCTCTGCCTGGCCCCTGCTGCTGCCCTGTGGCCATCCTGGAGCAGGTGACGCTGGTCCCTGGCCACCTCTACAGCCCCAAACTCTGAGACAACTCTCTCCAGCAGCAGCTGCCCAGCTTGGCCCAACTGTTGCTTCTTGGGGCAGCGAACTGACTCTGGGGCTGCTGCTGTAATTTATAAGGCAAATTTTATTAAATTTGTAACTATTCCCAGGTTTCCACACGGGGGGTGTTTTCCGCTGGCCACAAGGCTCCCCCAGGCCCCGGAGTGCCTGCCCCTCCTCTTCTGAGGTGAGACCACGCCCCCTCCAAGCCCTGGGGCGGGGCTCTGGGCCGTGTGGCCAGCAGGGGGCAGCAGAGAGCCGGGCCTGTGGGACAGCACCGGTTCAGACTGGGAAGGAAGGGGAGGTGGCAACCTCCCTTACTCCATTGGGTGGTAAGGTGAGGAGTGGGCCCCACCACCCCATCCCTCCCCACCTCAGCCACACTCAAGCTGTCTTTGGACACCACCAGGCTTGCCCAGAGCCCAACACCCTTCCCTGTCCCGCAGGACGCCTCCAGAGGCAGGACTGGAAGGGCAGCCGCTCCTTCCACTGAGCAGGGCTCTGATCAGTTGTCATTCCCAGGCGGAGCCCCCAGCACTGGCTGGTGGGAAAGGGCCCCCGCTCCATGGTCACTGCGACAAGTGGGTCCCCTCCTGCTCCCAAGGCAGTGACCAGGTACAGCCGTGCCCTGGGGTGGTCAGGGTCCTCTGGGCACTGGAGGAAGGTGGTGTGGACCTCTGGCTGGTTCACTGAAGAGGGAAAAGGCTGGCAGAGGGTGGACACAGGGCAGGCAGTGGGTGGCACCCAGCAGTGACCCGGAAGCCCAGCATGGTTTAGGCAAGGCTTTGATGAGCCTTTAAGCTCTCTCCAGCCTTCATTTCCTTCCCATCAGTGACATGGAGGGATGCCCCCGCCAGGAGCTTGGTTGGTTATCACGGGCACACTTTAGGCACTGCCAGAGGCGACTGTGACCACAAACAACAGAAAAGGTGACCCAGGATGGGATGGCACGGGCTCCCCTGAGTCATCGTGTATCCCTAACTGACCTAGAGGACAGATCCTGAGGCGCTGTGGGGTGACAGCCAGCGGGCAAGTCCACAGGAACTGCCCGTGCCCCTATTACCCTGATCAGACCAAGAGGGGCTCACAGACCAACTCTTTCAGACCACACTTGTGTAAAAAGGCTTTTATTTTAATAAGTAAAAATGGCTAAGCTTCCAAAAGTTCTTAAATAGGATTTCAGAGGGAAGAAAATTCAAGAGGCCAGTGGGCCAGGCAGGTGGGGGAGCAGCAGAATCCCCTACCCGCCAGCTGCCTCTGCCAGCCATAAATACGGCATGGCCCTGTGGCAGGAGACTGTGTGCCTCTGTCACACCCGAGCTGCGGGACCCCTCTTTGGAGGAGAGGGGCAGGCAGGGCTGCCCTTGGTGCCACCAACGCACCACAGTCCTCATGGTTCCTGGGCCTGCCGGAGGCTCCTCGCCCACCTGCTAAGGAAGGGGCTGGCCAGCCCTGCAAGCTGAGGAGCTGGGGCAGCCTCGGGGGAGAACCCTTGTCAGTCCTGGCCAGGCGAGAGGCTTGCCCTCCTTCACACTCCTGCCCTTCTCATGGGCCCAGCTTGCTGACGGCCCACGCCTGCCAGGAAGAGCAGCCACCCCAGCCTTTCCACCCATGCAGTTTGTGCTCAGAGCCACAGCCGAGAGACACCATTTCTTTCTGAGCATGTTTCTGATCTCTGAGGGGAGATGGGGCAGAAGAGGAGCCTCCACTCGCCTCCACCTCCAGGGTCCTGGCGCTGCAGCAGGAACAGGCCAGTGAGGCCTCAGGCCCAATGGGGTGGGCACCTCCGTCACACAGGCAGTGGCCTCGACCTCCCTGCAGGGGCACCAAAATCATCAGCCTCTTGTCTACTTGCCCACTGGCAGCCCATGGCAGGTGCCACTGAGAGCAGGAGGGAACCCAGCAGAAGCGCACAGATAAGCGACAACGGAGACTAGACCCAGCCCTGAGCAGCAGAACGCCCCAGCGCAGCCCTGCAACCCACGGCGGGCAGGCGGGCGGGCAGCCCTGGGCCACTGGCCCCACACTCACCTAGAGACTGCAGCCCCAGCCGTCAGGCTGAAATCAAAGCGACAGGCGTCTCACTGGTGGGCTTGCCTCAGGCCAGGCCCTCACAGGACCCTGCTGCTGCTAACCCTTTGGACCCATCCTTGGGTCCAGCCCCTCCCATGACCTGGGCTAAGCAGGGGCTGGAGCCCTCGGTCTGGGGTAGGCTCACTCCTCACCTGGGATGCAGGCAAGGCCTGCCCTTTATACCCCCGGGGCAGGGAGGGGGCTTACTGCACAGGCTCGAAGCCCACCCCCAGGGAGCAGGGTCCTGGGGTAGAGGCAGCACCCCGAGCTGAGAGGCTGGGGTCTTCTTACGCTGCCTCCTCCCAACAGACTTTGTTTCCCACCTGCAGAACGGACATAGCATGGTCCGCCCTGACTCCTCCCAGGGGGCACAGGAGGTTGCAAAACAGATTCTGGAAAAGTCATAGAACTTTTTTAAAAGGAAAGGAAAAAAAAAGCCCATCAGGTAAAGGCAGCCTGGTGACTATAATCCTGGGGGAGACTCCCCCTCCCACCCTGCTACTCCCTCCAGACTCACCCGAGGGCTGCAGCTTCCTCCGGATGGAGCCAGGGCGGCTACTGGTCCCGGAGCTGGGGGCTGAGTGGGCCCGTGCCGAGGGCTGTGGTATCTGACTAGCCGGCTCCCACTGTGGACAGGGAAGGGAGGGTAGGTGGGGGCCACAGCTGCCCTGGCCCGCACCCCGCTGTGCTGCTCTCTTCTCCCCTGCCCTGCCTCCTAACCTCCGAACACTCAGCTTCCTCATCTGCAAAATGGGCAGGATGCTCGTGCCCCAGCCTCATGTTATGTCAAGAATTAAATGAGATAGTACATGTAAAGAAGTCAACTAGTTACCACTTAGCACCTAGTGCCACGCCCATGGCCAGCTGGTCACCCCACAGGAGCCCTGGAGGCCAAGAATAAATACCTGCACTGAAGAGGCTTCTGGCTGTGGGTTCCAGCTGTAGCTCCACCCACCTCCGGCAGCTTCACCCCGCCCCACCCTGCTGCTCTGGGATGTTTCCGCCCAGCTCCCTGCTCCTGCCATGATCCAAAGTCTCTGACCCAGGGCTACCTGAGCCAGGTCTCTGGCAGTCCCCGTACCTCTAGATGCTCCTGGCTTGACCAGGACCCAAGCTCTGCCCTGCGTAGCCCGGGCCCCAGCTCCACAGAGCGCACCCGCTCAGCAAACTTGAGGGAATAGAGTGTCTCACTGGTGTTCTTCTCCACTGGGGACACCTAGAGGACACAAGAGCTCACTGCCCACCTGGGCCAGCTGGAGGGGCAGCAGGGTCACAAGGGAGCTCACAGCTGGAGACGTCAGAAGGCCTCCTGGAGAGGACCGAGGGACAGGGTAGGAGGGCAGGCAAGGTGGCAGAGGTGGCGTGGTCAAAGGTGGAGAGGAGGGACTGGGAGTTACACCAGGTGTGTGTGGCCAGGTCTGGGGCAGGGGGGCTGTTGCTGACTCTGGAGCTGCTGAGACAAGGGTCCTTCACAGCCTGGGGTGCCTGGGTCTTGCTGCTAGCTAAGTACCTACACGCCAGGGACTGCTCCCTTCTAACCCAAGGCCCTCACCTGTACCACCATGAGGGTCTTGCTGTCACCACTAAGCGAATCCTGCAGCAGGTAAGTGAGCTTGGAGTTGCGGAAGGGCACATGGCCCTGGCGGGAGCGCAGGGCAGCAATGACGTCCCCCAGAGCTGACAGTGACTTGTTGATGTGCTGCGCCTCCCGCAGACGGCTGCCTTCGGCTCCGGACTTGCCCACACGCTCGGACCCAGCCAAGTCCACTAGGTTCAACTTCCCTGCAGGGAAGGCACCAAGCAGATCAGACCTGCCCTGTCCCTGGGGGCATGGGGCTCCTCAGGCCAGGCTGCCCGCCCCCTCACCCGTGGTACGGAGGCCTGTGCTGCAGTCCACGCCTCGCACCGTCACGATGAGCAGCGCGTGCGAGCGGGAGCTGTGCTCATTCAGGTTGGTGAACTCCGTTGTGCGGTTGGTGTGGCCAAACTCAAACACCTGGGGGATGGGGAGTGGGAGGGTGAGGCACGGCGCTGAGAATGTGGTCCTCAGTCACCTGGCCCCGAGCACCCCAGAGGAGTGACACCCCCACCCCCGCAGTTTAGACGAGGAAACAGGCTCAGAGGGGCATGGGCACTTGCCCGAGGGTGCATGCTTAGGACACAGCAGAGCCTACATTCAAATCCAGGTCTTCCCTCTAGAGCAGCGTGGCTGTGGCCAGGGGCCCGCTCCTCCACACCTTGTTGATGTCGTCCACGCTCTGCACCTGGAACTCAGTCAGCCCTGGCACATACAGCTGCCCACTGCCGTCTGGGCACAGCCGGATCTCCAGTTTTTCCTGAGGCTCTTTCCCCAGCAGGTCCCTGGAGGGGCAGGTGAGACAGTCACCCCCTCCTCCCATTTCTGGCTGCTGCTTGTACTGCACCCAGAGCCCCAGTCAGGAGTGTTCCCCCAACCTACAAAGCCTTCTTCAGCCATCAGCTAAGCGCATATCCTCCAGCTCCTCCCCCATAACTCAGCTGAACATGTGGAGACCTCACTGTTGCCCAGAAGGCCTGTGGATGGCGCTACTCCTGCCTCCGAAATGCAATGAGCCCCTGCGGGCAGGGCCTGCAGCTGCCCACTCCCACCCATGGCCACCTGCTGCAGCCCACAGGGAGGAGAGTCACAACTTGCAGCTAGGTCCCTTGGCAGCCTCATCTGGTCCCTGCACTCCCTTCAGGAAGACCCCACTTCCTATCTCCCGTTACTCCAGCACCACCCCACCTGAGGACCCCAAAGCTGCCCCTGAGGCCTACTCCCCTCACACTGGGGCTCCTACCTGAGGACCTCGTTGTAGATCTCGGCGGCGCTGACAGTGATGGTGTACTCCCAGTCGGATGCCTTCTCCTGCACCTCGGAGAAGAGCAGCTGCAGGGCCCGCTGGTTGATACCTGGGTTCTCTGGGGTCCCCTGGGGGCAGAAGGAAAGGCCCCAGTGAGCCAGGCCTGTCCCCAAAGATGCTTGTGTGGCATCTGTCCCCCAAGCCCTTTGG